CCCCCGATCACCACGGAGGAAATCGGGCACGCTATTGACAGACTTTCATCTGGTAAGGCGCCTGGGCCGGGCTCTGTGCCGAACGAGTTGGTAAGGCTGGCATTTAGAAGATATCCGGAGGTTCTTAGGGAGTGCTACAATCTGTGTCTCATCAACGGTGTCTTTCATCAAGTTGCAAACGCGCCATACTAGTGCTACTATACAAGGGTCAAAACAAACCGCGTGACCAGCCGTCCAGCTACCRGCCTATCAGCTTGCTAGATGGGCTAGGTAAGGTCTTCGAAAGGGTCCTACTCAACAGACTGGAGAGGCACATCAGCAGGATCGATGCCATCAGCGACACGCAATATAGATTCGGTTGGTCGAAGTCCACAACAGACGCAATTGAAGATGTACTTAGAGTTGCCCAAKAATCAAACCGTGGACCCATGTAAAACAGGCATTTGTGCGTTCTCGTCTCGTTGGACGTGAAAAACACCTTCAATTCGGCGCCATGGAGGCTAATCGATGCGGCACTGCGGAGATCTGCGGTTCCAGTATACATGATCAAATCATTAAGGCCGTACATTCAGGCCAGAGAATTGTTCAACAGCGAGGATCAGAGCCTACCAGTGACGTGTGGTGTTCCGCAAGACTCTGTCTTGGGGCCAACGTTGTGGAACATGTTTTACGATAGAATCTTGCGGTTACCGGTACGCGAGGGCATCAGACTGGTAGCATTCGCTGATGATGTGGCCGTGGTGGCAGTGGCACATAATGCTGAGCTAATCGAGGAGTTAACAAATCCGACCCTCCAGGAAATCTGCGACTGGATGACGTCCAACGGCCTCCAGATAGCGCCTGAAAAATCGGAGTATGTGGTGCTCACGGGGAAGCGTGTCTTCCTGAATTCAAATCTGTACATCCAAGGTTRTCAGATACCAGTGAAAAAATCAATTAGATACCTGGGGGTCCAGCTGGATACTAGGTTATCCTTTGTTGAACACATCAACATCGTGACTACGGGAGCGAAGAGGG